CCAGGCTGTGGCGTGTGTCAATAATCATTCATTCCGTTTTACTGCTGAGTAGTATTCCATGATGCGAATGTACCAGGATTTGTTTAACCTGTTGAAGAATAGTTTAGTTGTTCTCAGTTTTTGGTAATTACAAACAAAGCTATTCGTATACAGGTTTTTGTATAGACATACATTTTCATCTCTCTGGGATAAATACCCAAAGTGCAATTGCTAGGCTGTATGATTAATGTATGTTTAATTTTTTTAAAGGAACTGCTACCAGGTGTGGTGGGCATGCCTGTAATCCCAGCACTTTGGGAGGCTGAGAATACGATTAACCTTTTATATGTTAATTCTGCATCCCAGGACCTTGCTAAACTCCTTTATTTGATCTAGGAGTTTATTTGTAGATTCTTTGGAATTTTCTAGTAGACCATCATGCCATCTGTAGATAGGGACCGTTTTATTTCTTCTCTCCTGATCTGTGTGACTCCCCCTCTTTTCTTGCCTGTTGCGCTGGCTAGATCGTCCGTCTTTAACAGTGGTGGGAGAGTGAAGTTCCTTGCCTTTTTCTGCATCATTAATTTTTATATTTTTACATTTGTTAAGACAAAAATCCAGTAGTTTTATCCCCTGCTGCTCACTGTTTATTGTGACTTTTTCTATTTTAAGTGGATTTTAAAGGAGTCTTCCTCCTACCAATTTCCCTCGGAGAATGAAGGGCCTCTTTCTGTATCCTCGCCCCTTCTCTCCCCATTTAGGGGCATGGACTTTGACGCCCTCTAGTGGCCGCATGGTGCCACGTCTCCTCTCGGCCCTAGGGGAGAGGTGTGGACTTGGGACGTGGTGGGACCCGGGACCGCTCCATCCTTTCCCCATCCCTACCCCAACTCCAGTGTCTCCTGAGGCACAGGGTCCCTATGGGCCTGGCTGACCCCCTGCTCCCTGGTGTCTGCAGACAGCGGCTTCGGGCCCTGGGCCCGTCCAGGTGGTGGCACCGGTGTCCGGGAACAGCCTGGGCGTACGGCGAGCGGAGATCAAGCCCGGGGTGCGAGAGATCCACCTGTGCAAGGACGAGCGCGGCAAGACAGGGCTGAGGCTGCGGACAGTCGACCAGGTAGGGCGCCGGGGCTGGGCGGGAAGAGGAGCCCCGAACTGCACCCGCCCTCCCGCCAGGCCTCAGAGCTCAGGGGTCCCGTCCACAGTAAGGTGGGCCTCCTAACCCCAGCGGGGAGGCCCTCGCTCCCTGTCCCTCTGTCCCGATGCCCAAGTGGGGCTGGTTCTGGGTTGCGCCGGGCCCTCTGCCGCCCTCTCCATGGGCCCCTGCCTCTCGGAGGAGCCTCCTTTCCCACCTGCCCTTCACTGCCCAGGGCATCTAGCTTCCAGGCGACGGTGTAGACAGCGGACGCCAGGGAAGCCCATGCCTTTGTGAATGGTACAGTAGAGTGTTTGCGGGTGCAGCCTCGGGCCAGGGTTGAAATCCTGACTCACCTCCTTCTTAACTATGCAGCCTAGAGTGTTTCTTCCCCAGGGAAATGGGGTAACCTTGGTGCCCACCGTGCAGAGCTGTGCCCCTGGGACACTGTAGGCTCCCGGAGTATCAGGAGGAAAACGACAGCTTGGAAGAGGGATCCTGGCCCAGGGTGGGCCAGGGACACTGACTCTGTGGTCCTGCCTCCCCCAGGGGCTCTTTGTGCAGTTGGTCCAGGCCAACACCCCAGCATCTCTTGTGGGGCTGCGCTTTGGAGACCAGATCCTGCAGATTGACGGCTGTGACTGTGCCGGGTGGAGCTCGCACAAAGCCCATCGGATGGTGAAGAGGGCATCAGCCGAGAAGATCATCATGGTGGTTCGGGACAGGTGAGTAGCCAGGCCCAGACAGCCTCTCCGTCTGACCCCAGCCACGTCCCCAGGCCAGCTCATTGTCCCTCCTGCCAGGCCATTCCAGCGGACTGTCACCATGCACAAGGACAGCACGGGCCACGTGGGCTTCATGGTCAAGAAGGGGAAGGTCGTCTCTTTGGTCAAAGGGAGTTCTGCGGCCCGCAACGGGCTCCTCACCAACCACTATGTGTGTGAGGTGAACGGGCAGAATGTCATCGGGCTGAAGGTAGGCCGGTGGCTGCGCCAGGGAGGGATGGCTGGGTGGTGGGAGGGCTCAGGTCTGTGGGCAGCTGAGCCTCAGTGTCCTCATCCTAAGGTTGCTGTGAGGATTTAGTAAGACAGTGTTGGGAGGGCTGGGTGTGGCAACTCACGTCTGTAATCCCAGTGCTTTGGGAGGCCAAAGCAGGAGTATCACTTGAGCCCAGGAATTCGAGACCAGCCTGGGCAATATGAGATCCTCTTTCTACAAAAAAAAAAAAAAAAAAAAAAAAAAATACTTAGAGCTCTGAGCACAGTGCCAGGCATATAGTAGGTGCTTAATAAATAATAGCTATTGCTACTGACACATGGAGGCCAGAGGCACGACAGGATTAGGAGTGTGTAGAGATCCCAGGCACCCACCCAGGTGGCTGCTGGCTGCATGGACACCTCCTTGCTCTGTATGGCACTGTTATTTGCATAGTGGATCCTGTTCAGAAGTAGGAATGATTTAGAAAATTGTTATTCAGAAATCCATAGGGTCATCAGGCTCTTCAGAACTGGGTTTGTCCCAGCCAGCCATACTTTTTGAGATCATTCGTCTTTTCAAAGTCTATTTCCACCTGTGGCCATCACTAGTCCTGTCTAGCACACCTACTCTCGTTTGTTTTGGAACAACCAAGAAGACACATAACCAGATTACATACATGTGTAAAGTAAAGGTCACTGGGCTCTGAGTAAGGGCCAGAGGCTCTTCTGTGGCCACAGCATTGTATTTGGACTGCCTGGCACACTTTGCCTGGAGACTTTTAGTTTCTTTTTCTTCCCATGATCTACGTGGTGTTTGCAGGCCTCTCTTTTTACCAAACAAGCAGATCTAAGAGGATGTAAGAGGAGGAGGACCCTTGTGGCCCTGACGGCAGCAGGAGCCAGAGGGTGGATGGGTGCACTTAATACCACCCACAGGAGGCGGATTCCCTTTATGCGTTGAGGCCAGAACCCAAATGTGGCTGGGGCCGGGGATATAGGATAGCAAATGTGGGCTTGGTGGGTCTCTGAGAGCCCTTGAAAGGGGGAGAAGAATCGCATTGATGAGGCCCTGTTATGCGTCAGGCCCACTTCACTGGCCTTCAAGCTGAGGGCGGGAAGCGCATGCTCATTTGACCAAGGAGCTCCTCAAGTGGGAGGCCCATGTTCTCACTCAAGCAAGGCTTTATCTAGGAGTCTGCTGGGACCCTTGTCTGACAGACTTGGGGTCCGAGGCAGCCCTGCCCTGCAGTCAGGCATCAGTGGTGTCCTCCAGCAGTGGCCATGCTGACCCTTTCACAGAGTGGCCTGCAGAGTTGCCCCTGGTCCCCAATCCTTAAGGTGATTGCCCACTTGCCTTCTCTCTAGGACAAACAGATCATGGAGATTCTGGCCACAGCTGGAAATGTTGTCACCCTGACCATCATCCCTGCTGTGATCTATGAGCACATGGTCAAAAAGTAAGGCTGCACCCCTCCTCTGCCATCCCCCACCTCTCTGTCTCCTGGCTGCACCTGGGCTCGGCCACTCCCACCTTCTCAGCCCTGACACAGGGCACAGGCCCAGCCAGCTCCATCCTCCCTTCCTCTCCCCTCCCTCCAAGGCAGCCTGTGGCTTCTGGAGATTTGTAAGTCTTAGAACTGGGAGTGAAGGCCCACATGGAGGCTCTGGCTCAAAAGGGGATGGGGGTGCTGGAGGGCGGAGAGAAGGAGCTGCCAACTTGGCCACCGTTGTTGCTGTACCCAGGTTGTCTCCAATGCTGCTCCGCCACACCATGGACCACTCCATCCCAGATGTCTGAAGCCATCAGAGGGCAGGGCAGGCCTCCCACCCTCCTGTGGCCAAAGGCAACCACCCTCCGACTATGGGTTGCAGCTGGCCTGCTGCCTAAGGTGGGCGTTGCCTTGAGGGGGGGCATGTCCAGGAGGGTGACCACGGGATGGCATGGGCATGTCGTTTATGAACACAGGCCTCCTTGGCGGCTCAGACTCCAAGCTGGGCTGAGGCTCAGGCACGGCCCACAGGAAGCCGATTCTCTGGCACTGGTTTAAATGCCGGCCACGTAGGCAGGCTGCCTAAACACTTCTTAAAGTTGCAACTGGGCCCCTTTCAAGATTTTGCTCTACTAGGAAAACAGTTAAACATTTTGAGACCAGAGTGACATTCTTTGTGAGAGCTTTTTCCTTGCCTGGACTTGCTCTTTGTCATAGACTGCGGAAGTTCTCAGCCTTGATTACCTTTTGAATAAAGATTTGATTTTAAACAAAATCCTGTCCTCAAAGGTAATTGATTCCCCCCAAAACTATCAAAAATAATAAAATAAAAAGGTAACTGAAATTTTGGAATCTTGGTCCCCTGACATGCCAGGGCTGGTTTTCTCTAACAGTGGGGGGACCAGGGTCTTTTCAACACATGGCCTCTGAGAGCCATGATTTGGCTCTGCCTCTGTCATATGCTGCCTGCCAGCCTGGCACAGGGATGACTGGAACTGGGGACAGGATGGAACTGTGGGGATGGGGTGGGACTGTAGGGCAGCGGGACTGGCAGAGGGAGCACTGGCTTTGGGGCCCCCTCCCATGTGACTGGCTGCTTCTGCTTCTGCAAAGCGGGAATGAGAAGCCACTTCAGGGGGTGCTGGGGGGATGAGACGCGATGCACTCATGGTGCCAGCAGGGTGTGCCACGTGAGGGCGGGGGGAGGTGGTTCCAGACCCCGTGCCTGACCCCAGAAGGGCAGTGGTGCCCCAGCCCCATGCAGCTCTCTGCTTACCTGCACGTCAGAGACGATGGCTGCCTGCCTGGCTTTTTCCTGTGCAAGTGTTGTGACCCCTGTGTCAGAGGAGGACAGTGTGAACCCCCCCAATCCCCCTGTTTAGAGAAACCACACAGTATAAAGAAAACAGGCTGAGGGGCTTGCTTTGTGTTCATGCTTTAATTCAGAGTTGTCTGCCGCAGGTACAACTCTGTCTGAACAAAAGGACAAAGGAGACAAGAGTCAAGATCCCTCCCCACCTCCCCACTTCCCGAATCCCCTGAATTCTTTGTCAAGGGGATGGCCTAACATGGGAGTGTACTGTGACCCATTTGCGTTGTCCCCTAGGTCAGAGAGGGGGTTGTGAGTTCTCTGGGCAGAGGCCCTTGGGTAGGCCTTGGCCCCAGAACCTTGGAGTTTGTCCCACCCCTCCCCAAAGTGCTGTAAGATACCCCTGTGCTAGTGGCAATGGGAAGGGTGTGTCAGTGAGAACCTAAGTGATCCCCTTGGGAGAAATCTACAATACGCTCCACTCAAACCCAGCTCTCTGTGCAGAGCCCGGGCCCCAGCTTCCAATGCCTGCCTGAGCCTGAACTGGCCAGGCAGTGGGGCCACTCTGGCCTGAGCCCTAGAACTCAGCAGAAGCCACCTCTGCCCACTAGGTTCCAGAAGGCGGTTTCTGGGGATGCTGTTCCTCAGGACCTCATCAGCTCTGGCTAGACGCTGGGGAAAGGGGAGGCCCCAAAGATTTCTGCTTCAGAAGCTGAGGGCAGGAGGAAAAAAGTTGCAACCCAATGGGAGGAGGTATTAGGCAGGAAGGAAAAGGGCTGCTGTGGAGGGTGAGCTCTCTCAGGAGGAGGCCCCGCACCAGCTTTGCCCTCCTAGCCCCATCTGTACCCAGCCTCTTCAGGGCGCGGCGCCCGAGCCGTAGCTGCTGCACCTCCACCACCTGGAGCTGCACGGGCCACCTGCACCTTTGCATTGATGCAGATACTGAGCACACGTAGACACACTCCAGAGCTAGGCCAGGGCCACCTGCCGTCATGGTCCCAGGGCCTGTCCCAGGGCCGAGTGGGGAGCTGCTTCCTTCACTGACAAGAAGAAAAGCCCATCAAAGGCCCCAGGAGAACCCCCGAAAGAGAGGACCCTCAACACTGTGGGCCAGGGCCTGCGTGCCCCCCACGGCGGTCTCAGGCCAGAGCAGGAGTAGGGGGCTGCAGCCGGCTACACTCACCTCCTCCGCAGGTGGCTCCTCCGGCTACACGCACCTCCACCTCGGGCCCAGCCACAGCCCACTCCTCCACAGGTAGCTTCTCTAGCAGCAGGGACAGAGTAGACTGTGGCCCCAGCCCTGTCACATCCGCCAAAACACAAGACACAATAGGAAGGCCACAGACGCAAGACACAGACAGGAGCAGAGGGGCTTGAAGCTTGATTAAATTCCAGTGGTGAAAAATATAGAGACTTTATGTTGTCAAATATAGTTCATACATTTCTTTTCTCGGCAAAGCTTGGACTATGTCTAAGGAGGCTACACAGCTCCATGAGTGCACGGCACAGGAGGCTGGGTCCGTGGCCAGTCCCGGCTTGGCTTTGGATTGGTTTTGTCCACTGCCCCCTCCGTAGCATGGCCACAGTGTCCTGCAGGGGCAGCCCCAGCCAGGCCCCAGGCATTTAGGTTTGATTTGGCTGGGTTGGGGCATATTCCACAGAGGATGGCTGGTCTGAGGCCCTGACCGAGGCGGGGGGAGCTTTGGAGGCACAAAGCGTGTGGCAGAGGGGGCTCCTGCCCCAAGGGCTGGGCCAGCTGCCCATTCCCAGTGCATGCAGGTGCCCGACCTCACGTGGAGGGCACCAAGCAGAAGGGCAGAGCCCAGCAGTCAGGCAATGGCTGTTGGAGCATCGGGGTGAGGGCAAGCAACCTTGGCAGAGAACCAGAGTGGCCCTGAGGCCAGAGGGGCGAGGAAGACACAGAGTCCCTCCAACCCCCCAGATGTGGAGCCTCGCCTCTGAAGAGTGGGTGGGACGACCAGATGGGTGCCAACCCTGTGGGGGAAGAGGAGTGACTTTACTTGGTAAAATAATAATGGTAATAAGAATGTCAGCAGCTTGGCTGGGGGACTCAGTGTGGTCCCGGAAAGGGGCTGGGGGCAGTGAACCTTCCCAGGCCAACTGGCCTTGGGCTGGGAGCAGGGAGGCTGCAGGATGCCTGCCCGCTCTTCCACACGCATGCCTGGGAAACCCATCCCAGGACATCCTGCTTTGGCCTGGACAAACATCGTGGCTTCAGTATGCCGTCCTGCAATTCATCCTGCCAGAATCCCCCACCCTTCTCCAGAGGCAGATAAGTTTAAGGTTTAGGAACCCTCATCTCAGAAAGCAAGCAGCCACCTCCCCGGAGGCCCTTGCATGGCTGAGAACCAGCCCCAAAGTGAACATAGTGCAAAGCAGAAGTTGGGCCCGAAGGCCCCAGAGAAACTTGGGGCAAGTTCCAAGAGGCAGTCACGGCCTCTGGCTTATTCAGTAAACTGTGGATTCCTGAGTCCAGCCCCGCCACCCAGCCTGCAGATGAGACGGCCTCACCTTGAAAGGCTGGGGGAGCCCTCTTGGCAGGGGCTTGCCTCCTCTTCTTGTGCTGGTGGATTCTCCAGCTGGGAGCTGGGGCTCAGGCAGGCACTCCTACCCCAGCACTGAGCTTGCCGGGCTTAGCTGCCTCACAGGAATAATGATTGACACACCCAGAGGTGCCAAGAGGAAAGAGATGACGGGAAGGCCTAGGATGAACGGACACACACAGAACCCACACTGCCGTCTGCCACCTTGCGCCCAACCCACCTCTCCTCCAGCCTGTGGCCTTGACTGAGCTCCTGAGTCCCAAGGTGGGGAGCAGTCTGGGGAGGCTGGAACGCTGGCCCGGCCCAGTGGTTTCGGCCCCTGCTCTGAGACCTGGGTTAGCGATCTGTAGTTTAGGCCATGGCTGCCTCCATTTGAGGAGAGGGCGCTGGCCCCTGAGCTGGGGCTGAGGGCAAGGTGGCTTGGAAGAGCAGGCATGGAGTGAACAGGGCACTGGACAGGACGGTGCAGGGCGGGGGCCTGATGAGCAACTTAAGCCCGGCTTCTCTGGATAAAGACAGCCAGAGACTTCCTGAGCAGGGTTGGCCCTGTCCAAAGGGCCAGGGGGACAGAGGGGCCGGGGGGCCCTCGCCTCCTCCCCTCCCTGCGATGTGTCCAGCCGGTGTGCCTCCTGCCTTTGGTCTCCCTTCCCTGCTCTCCATCGAAGCTTTGGGATGCCTGTCTCCAACCCCTACTCCTGCCACGATACTGTTTTAACATCCTGAAAAAAAGAAACAGTTCCACACCCAAAACTAAATAAATAAGATGATGCCCAAGGGAGAAGGAGGGGGAACGGCATCCCTACAATCAGTGGTCAGGCCGCAGGCGCCGCTGCCCGAATAGGCCTCCTCAGAGCTGGGAGCCGCCGCCCGCTGGGCTGGGGCCTGGCTGGCTCAGGGAGCGGCAGCTGATCCTGCGGATGGAGTGCAAGGCCACAGTGCAGCAGCCCCGCAGCAGGGAGCTGATGTTGTAGATGGGCTGGCCCTGGCGTCGCTGGGAGCGGCAAAGCCAGGCCACTGTGGGCACGGCTGGTACCACCACAGCCAGCAGATCCACAATGTAATGGCGGCTCCAGTAGCTCTTGGGCTCCTTCTCAGCTGCGGCAGCCTCCTCCTCCTCCTCCACGGGGCACACCACGCTCACCGACTGGCCAGGGTTGGGGTTGGCACCAGGCTGCTGTGGGGTGGGTCCACGGGTGATGGGCTCTAGGGCCTCTGGCTCATCACCCACTGTCACCACCACTGCTGAATTGGGGTCTCTGGGTCCCAGAGAGTGGGCGTCTAGCTCTGGGCACCTGTCCCCTGACTCAGGGACTGTCCCACAGACCCGGGCTTGGGTCACCTTCTCCAGGATGGTGTCGAGGTCAGGCTGGTACTGCACAAAGTCTGTCTGGATGGCACGCTCCTGCATGCAGCTGGCCTGCACACCAGCCTCCATGCCACACAGCAGCTTCTCATAGGTGTTGCTGGCGGGGAAGCGGGGGCCCAGGCCAAAGGAGCTGTGCAGCGAGGTCTCCTCGGTGCCACAGTCCACCCCTGATGACAGCAGGCTGCTGGCTTCCAGCGCATCCGTCCGGCTCAGTGTGTCATCAGCTGCCGCAAAGCCGCTGTCAGCCCCGTCCTCAGCAGAGCCGCTGGAGGGATCGCCGGGCTGGCGGTCACCACAGACGGCCGGGTCACTCAGCTTGGTGTAGGTGGAGCTGCGGGTGAGGGAGCGCGCGGGGGACCCACCGGCCGATTCCCCTGTGCCATCCTCCTTGGTCATGCCGTTCTGGGCCACCTCCATGCTGTGCAGCAGCGTCTCCAGCTTCTTGTTCTGGATGTTGATGTCCACGAAGTACTTCTGCAACCCCTTGTCCTTGTCAATCAGGTTGTTCTTGACAGTGTCGATGACCTGCTTGAGCTGCTTGATCTCCTTGCGGGCCTCCTTCAGGGCCAGCTGGGCCTCCACGCGGTGGCACTCCTCCTCAATCCAGTCCTCCTGCATGCGTGACAGCTGCGTCTTCAGGTCATCGATCTCTGTGTCCCTGTGAGCCGAGGAGACACACACATGCTCACTGCCTGCCTGCCTGCTCTGTCACCGCCAAGGAGAGGCAGGGAGAGGACAATGTCACCAAGGATAAAGGGCCCTGTGCTGCTGTGGCTCAGAGCCCAAAACAGAAGGACAAACTCAACGCCTTTTTATTATGGGGGTAGTGAGAGTGGCTGGGGAGAGGGGCTGAGGGGCAAGGCAGGAGAAGTCTATACCTGGTGAGAGAAGAAAGTTCAGGAGGAGATATCACTAGCATTCCCACCCCACCACTCCCCAAAACGCAGACGACTCTCAACGTTCAAATCCATCATCTAGAGAAGAGACTAGACAACAAAGATCCTCGCAAGTTTGATACCTGCTGCTATAAAAACCTAATAAAATCTTAATGTAAAACAACAAAAACTAGGCAGAAAATCTTGGCTCTATAGAAAGTGAGGTCGCCTCCTACTAAAGCAGACAATTTAGATGGAGGAGTATTTGGCCAGAGACCCCTGGGGAGAGAAATGACAGCCTTCAGTGCTGGGGGATGCTGACGACTTTACATCATCCCTTACGTAGAGGGATGAAAAGCGGTGGGTGGAGCCGGGAGAGCGATGAGAACAGGGTGGCTCTCTTCTATCCATGCTAGAAGCTGCTTCTTTGTATATCCTTGTATCTTTGTATCTTAAAGAGGAAAGGCTGAAAAGATCAAGGAGAAAGGCACAGAGTTACTCCTGAGAGAGCGGGCAAGCACCAGGTGAACAGGACAGTCGGCTGACTCTTGTCCAGAAATGCTCAGGCTTTTCAAATTCCCGAGTCACAGACGAATGCAAGGGTGCAGGTGAGGGAGGTAAGTTAGAAAAACATCCCATCAGGTCTAGAGGTAAAACCAGAGCAAGATGAAACAGCGACTGATTAACACTATCGAGGAAGGAGGAAAATCATCCAGGAGACATCAAACCCTGTCCCGGGCATTCTCATCCACTCCCTAGTGGCAGCCCCCATGAGCCCCCTCAGCCTCAACCCTACATTCCCATCAATATTATCTACAAATGCCATGGCTGCCACTTATCAGCCCAGCAGAGTGACTGTCTCAGATCAAGCACCATATACTTTTCAAAGCCAGATCAGAAATTTCCTACAGGAAATGGGCCCAGGAATCTCATTCCTCAATATGCTGGAGGGACTGGGGGCTGAGCGGGTGCAGCAGCCACAGAGGTCAGCAATGGTATCGCCTAGAAGGGGCCCCACCATCCAACAGGACACAGCTGGAGCTGCTTAGAGTGCCAAGAACAGACAAGGCAACAGGTACTGGGGGGTGGGAGATACTGGATCTTCACGCCTCCTGCCTCCAGGTGGGGGGCTCGCTCTAGGTAACCCTCCTGGCCTCACCCTGCTCCTCACTCACACCTCTCCCTGAGAAAGAGTGTAAGTTTGGAAGAAGGAACTGGGCATGATCTGCTCAGCCAGCCCCTGCCTCTCTCTCCTTGGGGCTCAAACCCCAGGGAGCCATGGCTTTGAGTCCTGTCCATGCCTCAGTGGCATCACATTTGAAGCGGGTCTTGAAGGATAAGTTTGCCTAGGAAGCGAGATGGGGGGCAGGGCATCTCAGGTAGTGGGGACACAGATATGAAAGCACAGAGGTGCATAAGCACGTGGTGTCTTTGAGGAACAGAAGGTGGGCCACTGCAGGAAGCACAGGCATGAAACTTGTTATGTAGAGAGTGTGGGGACAGTGACAGTATGTCATGTAAAGACCTGCCATAGGTTCCTGTGGGAGTAACGGGCAGACAGTGTCCAGGGAGTGAAGGTGTGGGCACGCCCACGCCAGGGCATCCTGCCCAAACCACACAGGGCAGATGGTCTGCTCTAAGCCATGGGGCTGGCCCCAGAAAAAAAGCTGGAAGATGGGCCATCTGCTCCCTGAGACATTAGTGCAAAAGGCATGCAGATTCTGGCCATGATTGGGAAGATAAGGGAAAATAAAAATAGAAATCCTAGCTCTGTAGACAGTGAAGCTCACTGAATGCTACTCATAACTGCCTGCAATTTAAAACCACAACAAATCCAAACCCAGGTAGCTGCTTGGCAGAGCTGTGGTCAAGAACCATGTAGTCATGCATACTGTGTGATCCCATTTATATGAAATGTCCAGAACAGGAAAATCCATAGAGACAGAAAAGTTAGTGGTTGCCAGGAACTAGGGTGGTTAAGAGAAATTGGGAGTGATTGCTAATGGGAATGGGGTTTCTTTTTGCGATGATAAAAATATTTATGAAATTAGATAGTGGTCATAGTTGCAAAATTCTGTGACTATACTAACAATCATCTAATTGTATACTTTAGATAGGTGAATTGTATGGTATGCAAATTACAGTGCAATAAAGTTGCTGTATTTACCAAAAAAAAAAAAAAAAAAGAAAGGGAAAAAGGAGAGATCATGGTGCCTTCTTGGAGCTCCAGCCCCACACAGCGCCTTGTCCAACTCATAATAGGCTGCACGTTTGCACAGACACAGTCCAGAGAAGGATAGTTAAGACAATGGGAGAGCTATGCCCTTGAAGTGTCCATCACGAAGATGAGGCCACCAGGCTGGAGGGTACAGCCTGGGAGGGTTGGGATTAAGCACCTGAGAATGAGCTCAGATGGGCCTGTGGGGGCTCCTGGGAGACACCTGGGCTGGGGAGGAGCTCAGCAAAAGGTTTCTCATGATCATCCTCCACAGCAGGAAGCAGATGAGGAGGAAGGCTTCTGGGGCCTGAAGTCAAGGTCGGCCACAAGCCCTCCAGAGACTCACTCAGCAGGAAGTGAGGAAGGATACAGAGTTGTTTTTCCCCCAAAAAACACAAGTAAGTCAGAAAGAAGGCATGGAAGATGGAAGCCAGGGGAAAAGAAGCAGCCAGAGGGGCTGTCAGGCTGAAGCTGGGAGAGGACTGCACAGGTGGGAGGCCCCACGGGACAGACCCTCATGGGAAATCACTCCCATCTGGCCCCCAGCAGCCTCGTGGAGCAGTCAAGGTGAGTAGCTTTTGGCAGGGGTGAGGGTCTGCAAAGGGGCTCAAACGAGGCTTTGCTGGGAAGAAGAGAGCAGATGGATGCTGGGAGACCCCCGGCTACTCCTTCCTCCCAGAGATGCCCCAGGGCCCTGGTTCCTCTGAGTGTGCAGCTGGTGGGGTGCCCCCAGGGCTGCTCATGGCCACCTGCTCACCGGTCCTGGAGCCGGTCCTGCGTGTCCTTCAGCCGGGCTTTCAGATGCCGGATGCACACCTCCTTCTGTTGTAGTGGGGTCAGGTACTGCTCCGGGGTCGGGGGCTTGATGCCATGGTTGTCACTGCACAGTGTGTATTTCATGGAACGCCTGCAAGGGGATGCTTATCATCAGGGAGAGAGGAAGAGGTCAGGCAAGGCACAGGTGCTTTTCCTCTGGGGAGCAAGGGGACTCCAACCTCACCATCCCTGGCCACCAGATGGCTCCAAGCAAGGCCTCCCACACAAGGCAGGAAAACCCTCAACCTACTGGAAGGTGGGTTTTAGTAGAGCTCTTCTGAGTGAAGACCACAGTGTCAGGATGTGGGCTTCAGGGCTCCTCTAGTTAGGGCTGGGTGGGGAGATATATCCCAGAGCACACATGTAAACCTGGAAGTAGGCCAAGCGCTTGACCAATGCTGTCAATCCTTACAGTAGCCATGGAGGTAGGGACTTCATCTTTTAGAGGGGTTGCTGGCCACAGAGAAGTTAGCTTTTGCCCAAAGCCCCTCAGACAGTCCCAGTGGTGCACCCCAGAACCTAGGTACCTAGTCTTCCAGCCCAGAGGATGAGTTTGAAGGCTGGAGACCTATGTGTAAGTGGCAGATTCTGGCTCTGCATGGCAGACAAGGACTCATCCCCACAGAGGAAGAAAACATCTCCCTGGTGGAGGCAGAAGCTCCCCTCTCCAGAGCAAAGACCCCTCACAGCCGGGGGACAGGGAGGGCAGACACGCACAGACACAGCTCTCTCCATCCACACCCCAGTACTCTCACTCCTCACTCGCACTGTGTGCATGTGGGTGCGCCCTATATTCACGCACACTTCCTGGGAGTGCACATGTGAGGATGTCAATTCCCAGTCCATTTGCGCCTGCATGTGCAGATACACACTTGTGCCTCGCGGGCACTTGCGCGTACTAGGGCACCAGCCCAGGTCCATGTTCACACTTTCCCCTCTGGGAGCACATGAGAGCACACATGTGAACATCTGCTGGCTCTGGGCAGGGACCTGTCCACTGTAGTACTCTGGAGCGGCAGCAGGCTGGACGTGCACTGCTCCCAGCACAGGGCGGCACTGACATGGTGCCCTACCAGGGCAAAGAAGAAGGAATTTCCACTCAGGGCAGTCAGGTGCCAGTGGAGGAGGGAGGGCCAGGCTTTCAGAGGGAAGGGGAATACCCCAATTCCACAACAGACTGTGGCCCAGCCAGCTCTACGCTCAGCGTCCTGGCTGCTGGTTGTTCTTCTCATAAAGAAACCTTGGATCTTGGCTTAAAATCTGGGCATGTTCTCACACAACTAGAGACTCAGGCCTTGTTGCCATTCAACTCTGCTCCTTGAGGGGAGGGTAACTGCCAGGTCTAGGGAGGCACAATGCCCCTTTATGAGCCTGGAAAAGACAGGACTTGGTGAGGCCCATTTGCAAAAGCAGCCAAGCTGGAGGGAGTTTTGAAAGTTCTGTGGAAGCTGTATAATGTTTACTGAGGAAAATGTACTTGTAAGTTGTAAATTGTCAAAGAGAAAGTGGTGATAGACGTGGAATGAGAAATGGTTTTCTTCTATGTACTCGCCTCATGGCCCCTAGGTTAACTCAAACCAAGTCATGCAGGTCTGCTTTCTGCTTGGCAAGGGGCGGAGGAGTGGCATGGGCTGGGAGCTTGGGGTTTCCCCTCTGGTTTAAGAAATCTCTTTCCAAAAGAGAAGCTAGCCACACAGATCGTGCTCAGGCCCCACACGCTTGTCTTACTGTCATCCTCCTGCCCCTGCAAAAGCTTTGTCTAGAGAGGCACAGATCTGTGATGAGTAAAGAGAGGTCCTTCCCCCATGCCTGGGGGTGGGGTGGGGTGGAGTGGTAGGAGTGGGGGAACCAAGATTAGCCAAACTAGTGAGGATTGAGGATTAGAGAGGAAGTAACTATTTTATATTTTCTTCATTTTGCTTTCATGAATATTTTTTCCACAATATAAAATTTAACACTTATACATTTTTAGTCACTAGCTCTATCTTTGTAAATACATATATGTGTGTGTATATATATATATAAACTAAAAATAGAAAAAAAAATCTATAATGCATGTTTCTCAGCTACTCCTGCTTTGGAAAGCCTGGCTATTTGCAGAGGGGGCCTAACTGAGGCTCCATTGCTTACCCAGGGGCAGCAAACCTTGTTGTGGGCAAGAAGATCCTTCACTGGGAGCAATTCTCAGTCCTGGGGTTGGGGTTACCCCCATGGGCTGCAGTTATGAGATGCGTTACAAAATCTGTTACTAATGGAAAAATGTTAAAGTTGCCAGTTATATAGTTTTCAAAATATAGGTTGACGCTTTACTCCCACGTTCCCCCCCGTCTCTGGGGTGGTGTTACAGCCAGGATGCTGAGGCATGGGTCCTGCACACGGGTGTTACCCATCATGTGTGTCACGATGGAAAACTCCTAACTGCTGTTTTGGTGGCTTCGGACGTCGCTTCACACAAATGACGTCCTCTCTGCTGAGCCCTCCCGGAGGTGCTCCAGCCATGGAAGCCACAGGCCAGGCATCTCCTGGCCTTAAGTCAGATCGAAGCCCTAACAACAGCAGTTATCAGTTATCGGCCAACTAGGATGCACAGGCAACGTGTAGATATCAAGTCACGGAAGCTTCCTAGTTATTAGCTCCACTTTAAAGATAAGGAAATGGAGGCTCAAGACAGGAAGAGACCCAATCCAGAGCCCATGCTCCTTCCCCACACACCCCAGCCTCCCTCTTGTATTTCAGTGCTGGGGAAGCAGGACAAGGCCTTCCATGACAGCTCTTGCTTCCTGGTCTTCAAGGACCCACTGCTCCCCGACACCTGCTTCTGCAGCGTGATCCTGCTTTTTGAGTCTGAGCTCACCTTACCCAAGACTACAACTTGGCATCTGCCGCATGTGTAACATTTCGCCTCACAAGCTAATGCCACCTCTGTCACTCTCAAAGTGTTCCCCTGAGAAGTGCATGATGGTAGACACTGCTAGCTGCTTCCCAATACTCATCTTGCTTTCTCCCTAGAGGAAACCCCATTTGTCTGGGGTGGCACTGTACTGGGGAAAACATGAACTGCCCTGCAGCTAGAGTTATTCCCATGACCCAGTTCTGGCCAGCAAGAACTGGCAGGATTTGGGGGCAAGCTGTCTCTCTCAGAAAAACAACCTCTGAGGAAGGCTTTGGTCCTTTCCACCTGTTCCTTCCTAGAGGGTGGGCCTGATGCCTGGAGGTGAAGAAGCCATCCTGTGATGACAAAGACAAAAGCTGTACACCAAGGATGGTGGAGCAGGGGGAGAAGACATGGGGTCCCTGACGCTTCAGGGAGCTGCCAACCCTTGGCTCCTTGTTCTGTAAGTATCACCCCTAGTTTGTTTAAGCCACTGTATTTGTTTATGTACAGCTGCATGTTATTATATTCATCTTACACATAGGAACTGGGGCTCAGAAAGTAGAAGTGGCCTGCTCCAGGTCACACAGCCAGCGACTTTGCTGCCGTCGGGGGTGGTTAAAACATCACCCTGCTCCCCTACCTCCCCTGCCCAGGGCAACTGTTCCCAGCCAGCAAGGCCAGGCCCAGGGAGGAGGGGCCAATTACCTTGGTGTGGGACTGCTGTCGCTGCCCTTGTAGGAGCCTGAATTGCTGCTGCTGCTGAGGGAAGATGTGCCGTAGGCATCCCGCACGCTCACAGGTGGAGAGGTGCGCCTGGAGGCAGGAAGAAGAGGCAGGTGCTCGTTCTGGCTGGTGGGCAGCTGCGGACACTGGGCGAACACTGCCAGGCCGCTGCGGCCCAAAGTGCCCCCACTTTGGGGTCACCGCAGGGGAGAGAAGCAGGAAGAGAGACGCACAGACAGGGGTGACAGAACAGACAGTGCAAATCAAGATGGAAAACCAGAAGGAGGTGCATCCTCCTGGCTCCCCAGGGACAAGAATGGAGGCTGGCAGGGGTGCAGGGCAAGGGTGGAGCCTCATATGCTCTTTTCAAGGGTCCTCAACTTCTGGGGTTCCCTAAACCCAGGGGAGGAGATCCCTGCATAGACTGAGACAAAGGTAGAGAAAAATGGGGCAGATGGGGGTGGGGACAGGAGGAGGGACCCACAGGGGTAAAAATCAAGGGAGACCAAGTGAGCCTGAGTGGATGACTGCACAACTTCCCTCCAGTAGTTGTGAAGATCAAACAGTATTGATGAGGCTACTGCTGGTAGGAATCCAGTGGTCTAAGCCTTAAGAGAATTCGCACATCCACTGTGTCATTTGAGCCATTAAACAGTTCCAGGAGGAGGCAAGTGTTAGCAAGCCCATTTTAAAGATGGGAAAATGGAAAATGATTTGCTCAAAGACACACTGCAAGTCAGTGGCAGGTGGAGAGAGCCCCGCACCTTCCTCCCGCCCTCCAAAGCCAGGGATCTGGGTGAGGGGGGGACTCACCTGCGGGATCCAGCAGAGGTCCGTCTACTTCCCGGCAGGGACATGGCCATGAGGCTGCGGGTCCGAGTAAGGGGTGGGATGGGCGGTGTCCCAGGGGCTGAGGAAAGAGGGCGGGTTGGGGGGCCCGCAGAAAGGGCCGGGCCAGGCCACGTCATCCTCTCGCTGGGGCCGCTGCCCGGCATGGCTTCTCTTCTCACCCTTCGGCAGGACACCCCAGGAGCGAGGGCCTGGCAGGCCGCGGCTGCCTTCACCAATGAATTTAATGGGGCTGGTGCACAGGTTCCCACCACCCAACTTAAAATCACAACTGTGAGAGCCTCAGGAGTGGCTAAAAAACATCAGTCCAACCCTGTGTCCTCCAGATGAGTGAATGTGCCCCAGACAGAGTGAAGGCCGTGCCCAAGGTCACAGGGGCTTCAGGAGCAGGGCCTCCTGACTGCTGGTACCGAGTCTTCTACTCTGTGAGCCAGGCCTGCTTCTTCCCCAGGACCCTGATACTCAGACCCACATCCCCCCTTGCTGTTCAGTCCTCCCTCTCTGGTAGGGGCTGCAGGCTGTAGGATTCCTGGAGCAGGACCAGGAACCCTGAATTAGGATGGGCTGGTCTCGCCGACCATCACCTTCCCAGTTGGCGCGTGGTTCTGGGCTTCCCGTCTACAAGGGAGACAAGACAGACCAACATACCAGCACATGTATAGAAAGACATATGGATACACACGAACACGAGAAGGTACCATGTCCCTGCCATTCCCAGACATGCCACACGTGTCTCCATGAACGTGCTCAGGCAGCCAGCCCATGACGCAGGCCATGCAGCCAGGCTCCCCCGCACCCACGCGGCACAGGCACGTCCGCACCCACCCATGCAATCTGCATGCTGGTTTTGGCATCTACCAGGAATTTGGGGGTACAGGCTCAAAGCCGATGAGCACTGGGGTGGATGGGAGCAGAGGCCCTCCGATGGGGGTATCCCAGTGGGTGGACCCAGGAAGAAGTGTTCATGCCTAGAGAGACCCATCCTTGGGCCTCTTGCTAAGTGGGTAGGTAGAATCCAGCCCCTGGTTCTTGCCCCCGAGTCCATAGGCTTCTTTCCTGGGTAGAGACTTGGGCTCCAAGGACAGCCTTTCCAGGGTTTAAGGAGGGGAGAGGCCCCATGCTGGGCTGGATTTTGGCTGTTTTGAGAATGAGGGCTATACTGGGCATTAGCCCAGAGTTACTGGAGTCTGGGCAGAGGGGGTAATCTGGGCTCTTTGCAGCCAATGTGCTGGTCCTGTGCCAGCTCCAGAGACCTCAGTCGCCTTCTTCCACATTAACAGCAGGGACAGAGGACAGCAGCCTGAGTTACAGGAGACTTGGCTGAGGATGTCATGCCCAGATCTCTCTCCATGCTGGAGGGAAGCATTCATCGAGCCCCACTCCATGCCAGACCTCATGCCAACCACGTTACGTACATCACGCCATTGACTCCTCTCAACAACCCTATGAGGAAGTGCTGTGATTAGTCCCCTTTTACAGATGAGGAATCTAGCCACTAAGAGGGAAGGGACTTGGCCAAGTCACATCCCAGGTATGTGGCAGAGCCAATACTCAAACCAGGTCAACATCAGATGCTGAGGGGCTGGATCTCAAACCTCAGAGTCTCTGGCCCGGGGACCACCCCCTTCCCACGTCAGGGCCTCCCTGGAGCCTGGTCATCCCAGCCAGCGGCGGGGCTGCCTCCTGAGTGGACAAAGGCACTGCTCAGATGGCCTGTTTCCTGGCGGGGACATAGAACACGGCCTGTTCCCCTAGAGGGTCTGGACACAGCCAGCATTGTTTGCCTGGAGGTGTCGGGTGCTGGGCTGCAGGACCTGCCGACACCACGCCTGTCACTTGAGCTGCTTGCCTCAGCTTGGCAATGCTTCCTACACATCATGGCCCAGTCACCCAGGCAGGGCCTCCTGGAACTGTAGGGCTGGCCCCTAGAGTAAGAAGCATGGGGAAGGGGAGATTTGGGGGCAGGAGGACATCAGTGCACCCCCTCATTTCTGAGGATGGCCATAAGTGGCTCACTGCCTCCTGGACACAGGAGGACCATGATTGGGAACAACTTAGGGGCAGAGGGGCACATGAGCAAGGCTCCAAGAATCACCTGCCATTGCCTGATGCCTTCTGCGGTAAGGTGGCCATGCTGAGTGTTCTCGTATACGTTGGCCCATTACTTCACACAGCAATCTTCAAGGCTGGCTTTGTTACTGCATTTGGACCCAAGGTCACACAGCTGCAGGTGTGACACATTATGGCTTCTGGCCCAGGTCAGCCTGGCTTCACTGACAACTCTCCCCCCATTATCCCTGCCCTTCTGGCTTTTGGGAGGATGCAAAAAGGAGGCTGTGCCTTCAGGAGCACTTTCCAGCAGAGGCAGGACTCATATCTGAGGATGGGCTCTTCCAAGCCAGCATGGATGAGTGTTCTAAGGAGCCAGGAAAGTCCAGGAAGAGTGCAAGGCCCAGTCCTGGGAGGAAGGCAAGATGCCTGATTTGCCTCAGAGCTGCGTGTGGCCTTGCTATGAGGGCTTTGTCTCAGCTGTCCCTGCTGCTACCTTGCTTGGCAACCCCACGTCTGCCTCCTCTTGAGCTCCGTTTTCCTTCCTCCCTGGCCTGGGGGAGGGAAGCGGGTGGCATTTCTACCTGAGTGCAGCTAACAGTCTCCTGGGAACTCAGAGCCAGCTATTCATCTGGGACGAAGGTGGAAGTGGCATTTCCCCTGCTGGGATGGGACCTTGCAGGCAGGGTCCCTCATGGGAGGGCGGAAGCCACCCAGGCCCAAAAGGAGCCACCTCTCAGGATCCTATTCAGAAAACTTAGTGTGTACCCTATGCTCTCTCAGGTCCTCCCTCCCTTCTAGGCCCTAGCAAGGAGGCAGGTTGCCATGGTGTTTGTCACCATGCCACTTGCTTAGCCTGGAGTCCCACAGGCCTCTCCCCAGGTGGCCAGAGGCTGCCACTTGGAAAGGAAGATAGAAAACCCCTAACTGTGAGAAGCTAGGCTGATAGTCTCTCATCACTTTCACCCCAGAGTAAACCCAGCCCCAGCCCTCACCAAACTTCCCTCCACTTCCCCCATCTTGCCCACACCAGAGCAACCCTGCTGTGCCCACTCCTGTGACTGGTCCCTCAAATGCTCAACACTTTCTAACCCCCCCCCGACAATGGGGATCCAGGGAGCAAGAGACTAACAACTGCAGAAATCAATACAAACTGATCTGGACTCAAATGCCAGCTCTGTCACCCTTCAGCAGCATGCCTTGGCCAAGTCACACCACTTCCCTGAGCCTCAGTGTCCACATCTGTAAGTGGGACTGTAAGGAATGCACCTCATATGGTTACTGTGAGAATAACATAAAATAACGTGAGTATGGGGCGTGGGTCAGTGCCTATCACACAATAAATACTAAAACACGGAACAGCCGGTATTTTGGAAGTAATGTGAAGGGAGCTTCAAAACAAACGCATTCGAGGCATAATGGTGGCTTTAGGAAGATCCAGGAACACTTCTCTACAAGAAATTTGTACTGGGTCTTAAGGGATGAATAGGAGTTCACCGGGAAGTGGCAGCAAATGGGAGAAAAGGAGAAGGCTGGACACAGGCAGTGAGTGACAGACAGCTGGCTGCTCGGAAACTAGGGAGGCCGGAAAGGGCAGAAGTACAGTGAGAGTGAGGCTGCAGAAGGACAGGGGAAGGCCACACAGAGCCACTTAAGCCAGGACCTTGTCCTGAGGGCAACAGGAAGCGATGCAAGTGCTTTGTAGGAAACAGGCACACTCCTATTTGCATTTTAGAAAGTTCTTGGGAAGCGAGGCTGTGTGGAGAGGGAGGGATACCAGTTAGGAGGTTACCAGGGGAGAAATTAGGAGGGCCTGGGACAGGGTTATGGCAGGAACCATGGAGAAAAGGGCCTGGATCCTATTCAGAATTCCTTGGAAGTCCCAGATTAGGTAAAAATTAGAGTAAAGCTCTTGATCTACCATCTACACCCTTTCCAACTGACCCTCTGACCCATCCAGGAAACCCTGGCTAGTCACTCCCAACTTCTCATCTCTGCATGGGCCGTTCATCCTGTCTGCGGCACCTTTCCTGCCTGTCCTCAAGCATATATTGCACTCTTTCTTTAGGCCCCACCCACAGCCCTTCCACCGGGAAATTTTCCTATCATTTACTGTCTTGGCCACTTAGCATGCTGTGCCTTGGACTAAAACTCAGGGACCACCATCCCCAGGGAAAATATAAAAACAAACACAATCAACACACAGCTGCTGGTAACACAATGGTTTAAACAAGCTCATGGGATAGACCAAGGAGTTAGGCTAGGTGGTCTCTAAGGTGTTCTGGATCTAACATTCTCTAATTCTAGGGCTGTTAATGAAATTATGGGGTTCTAATTGATGCTTTCTGCTCCTCCATTACTAGGACTTCTGAGTCTCAGTTTCCACATCTATAAAATTAGGAAGCTGCATTCTTCAAAGAGACATGATAGCATTTTACTCAATAAACAAGTCACGGGGGAAAAAACAGGTGCTTGGGTTAATCTAATATTTTAGCTAAGCAAAAGTCCCTGTATGTATTATAATTTATCTTCTTTCAAAGAATTAGCCATTGATACAAGAAGAAAGCTATCCTAAAATCCAAGGGAACAGAACAATCTGTGTCTGATGACTCAAGCCACTGACAGCTGGGGAAAGCAGAGCATTGCAGTCAGCAGAGCAGAACTTGGTGGGGATCCTCTCTCTGCCAAGGCAACACTAGAACGCAGAACATTCCACCCATTAGACTGCAGAGCACCTGGTGATCTTAGAATGCTAATGCAGAGAAGTGGGAGTGGAAGACAGGCCTGGGAGTGTTCCAGCAGCCGCACTCTAGATCTTAGAAGATTAGCACTACCAGGGCTATTCACAGCTGAGGACTTCAGTAAACCCTGCACTGGCTATGGCCTCACCAGCCACTATGCTCCTCCTTTGTCAACAACACTTAGGATCTTCCTTCCAGGACTTGGTGGCATTTCTCCAGCTTGCCTCCTGTTTCCCGCATAAGCCACCTTCAAAGCTGGGACCACAGATGAGGCACCATCAGACTTCTTCTCACCGTGGCAACCCCAACACAGCGGCAATGCAGACCCACAACTTGGCCAAATGCTATAAGGAAGTTTCCCAGGCAACCAGGATAGGTTGAGAGCTGAGGCGATGGCTACACGGGATGTGTCTCCAGTGATTAAACTCAGATTCCAGAGCTGAAGGCCATGGAGTCTAGGTTTCAAACCACCCAAGAGGACTTGCCTCTGCACCTGCTGAGAGAGGTGGCTCAGGCTTCCCTCCCCATTTCACCTGAAGAGGCTCTTCTTGTATGTGTTTTATATATAGAAGGTCTGAAGTATGATTACTTTTTTTTTTTTTTGAGACAGAGTCTCGTACTGTCACCCTGGGTGAAGTGCAATGGCATGATCTCGGTTCGCTGCAACCTCTGCCTCCCAGGTTTAAGTAATTATCGTGCTGCAGCTTCTAAAGTAGCTGGGATTACAGGCGCACACCACCACACTTGGCTACTGTTTGTATATTTTAGTAGAGATGGGGTTTCTCCATGTTGGCCAGGCTGGTGGCCTCCAGCAATCCACCCACCTTGGCTTCCCTGCTCCCAAAGTGCTGGAATTACAGGTGTGAGCCACTGCATCTGGCTATTAAAAAGATAAATTTTATGGAATGTGAATTATATCTCAACAAAAAAATTTTCAAAAATACATGTAATGTATATTTTATTTTTTAAAAGAGACAGGTTCTCACTCTGTCACCTAGGCTGGAGTGCAGTGGCAAAATCATAGCTTACTACAGCCTCAAACTCCTGGGCTCATGTGATCCTCCTGCCTCAGCCTCTCCAGTAGCCACCTGGCCTGGCTAGTCTATTTTTTATTCTTTTTTTTTAAAGATGGGATCTCACTATGTTGCTCTTGGTAGTCTTAATCTCTTGGCCTCAAGTGTTCCCCTAGCATCAGTTCCTGTGTTGCTGGGATTACAGGTGTGAGTCACCATGCCCCTGACCCCATTATATATATACACACGTGTGTGTGTGTGTATTTAAATGAACTGCGTATTAATAAAAACACAGACATGGTCCAGAAAGGGGTAGGGACTCTCCCAGAATGGCTCAGCAAGTTGCAGCAGGAGAACTAGGGCCAGTACTGCCCCCTCTACCTGACTTCAGATAGCTGGGCCCAGGATGCTTCCCTAGTGCTCCTGATTCTGGGTCAGCCTGGAGGAGATAGGTGACTGAGGCTGCCCCTAAGGTTCTTGCACATTCACAATTTCATTTCATCCTCACAAGTTCCCTATAGAGGGAGGCCAGGTGGAGACTAGCCCATCTGACGCATGGGAAATCTGAAGCCCCAGAGGTTACAAGGGTCACCAAGGGCTGCATCTTGGACTTCCAGGTCATAGGCACCTGTATTTCTACAGCATCATGAAGGTGTCATAACACAGCAGACCTAGGACACATATCATTCTGCTGCATAAAAGAAAAAACTTACTTTTCCATGAGACTTTAAGATACCACAGTGGAGACGAGCAGATATACACCTGCATTTTGGGCTGGTCACGCTTCCATAAAAGCAGGACATCACAGAAATAAGAGGTAAGCATACTACAGAAAGTTGTTTAAAAAGAAATTCTTGGCCAGCCGTGGCAGCTCACACCTGTAATCCCAGCACTTTGGGATGCTGAGGTGAATGAATCACCTGAGATCAGGATTTCAAGAGCAGCCTGGCCAACATGGTGAAACCCTGTCTCTATTAAATTTATAAAAATTAGCTGGGCAAGGTGGCGAGTGCCTATAATCCCAGTTACTTGGGGGTCTGAGGCAGGAGAATCACTTGAACCTGGGAGGTGGAGTTTGCAGTGAGCTGAGATTGCACCACTGCACTCCAGTCTGGGTAAGAGTGTGAGACTCTGTCTCATTTAAAAAAAAAAAAAAAAAAAAGGGAAATTCTTCATGTGCCTTCTCCCTAACTAGTGACTTTCCCTGTTCCTCTAAGAATCAGCCTCGCAGGCAAAGGAGAAGTTCTTTCCATGAGGAGCACTGCGCTTTCCTCTTCCAACAACTGCTGCATCCCACCCAGCAGCCCAGGCTCTGTGCAAGCCCACCTCTGAGAGATCCTCAGCTCCTCTGGGCTGTATCACGTCAGCCCTCTTGGTGACCTTGGGTCTTTGACCTCTGTTAGTCTTAGCTATCTCATGCATTCAGGCACCATCTTCCTGGCCCTGCCTGTCTCTTTTGGGATCCAACCAAGGTAATGAATGGAGGAATAGGGGCAGTTCCTGGGACATCAGAGGACTGAACATTTCTTGGTATCATTATTACCTGTTGAAGATCTCTCTTTTTCCCTTCTTCAGAAATAACTCTTACTTTATCACCTCAGAGGAAGTCAACAAGCCCAGGCTTGAGTGACTTTGAAATTACTGGCAACCTCTGCTAGGCCAACTGATCTGGGATGGTTCTCCAGGGCAATGTCTGGCGGGCATCCTTTCTACGTTGGGAGTAGCAGGGGGAACACTGGTTCCCATGCTTCCACCATCCCAGCTGCTCCAGGGCTGCCCCTCTGCAGACACCCATGGAGAAGTATGAGGAACGGAGGGGCAGTGGTGCCAGCCCCAGCTTGGTGGCTGCCTGGCAAGTGGCTCCTGGCAGATGGAGGCCCTTCAGCAACCTTGGCTACAGCATATGCTTCCCTAGGCTTCCTGACTGATAGAGCTGTCAAGCCTCAGTCCAGCTCCTCTCCCCTCCCCTTTCTCCCAAGCTTCCAGCTCTAAATCATCACAGGATGAGGAAAATGGTAAGACTTCCATCACTATGGATTCTCATTTTTTTTTCCAGATTTCTGCCTTGGTTCTTAGAATCCTGGAGTCATGCCCCTGCCACCTGGCATTTATCCCAAGTACCAAGAGGGACTAACACACTCTCAAAATCATAGAATGCAAAGGATCTGGAGTAGACCTCATCACGAGCTATCATTCTATAGAAGAAACCAAAACTCAGAAAAAGCATGTTAGTTGCCTGAGGTTACCCAGAAAGTCAGGGACAGAGCCTGGCCTTGGGGCTGGACTCCTGAATTTAGCAGTGAGCCTTCTGCACTGCAACCCTCTCCCTCCCCCCAATTTAGATCCAGGCAAAAATTCAAAAAAATAAGAATGAAAAGTAGCTTTTCAAGTAAATAAATATTGGAAGGAAAGCCTAGGGATATGACAGGAGAAGTCCTGACAATTTTAAGGCAGCTCATAAATGACGTACAGTAAAATATGCACTGAAACTGAGGCCCAGGGAAGAAGGGAATATCCAAGCTGACCACAAATACATGGTGGCAATGACATTGAGATTCAATTCCAAGCTTCCTGGCCACCGATGTCAAAAGGGAAAGTACGCTCAGTCTTACTGTTCTCATGGTTATGGGAGGGTAGTTAGAAAATTGGTTCTTTGGAAGAAATAAAGATCTCCCTACAATGAATGTTAAAAGAACCATTTTTGCATGGGATAGGCTGCAGGCCAAGACCATGGTCCACTAGGAGTCTGCGAAGTGGGTCCTAAGGAAAGATGGTGCCCTCAAAGCTCACCCAAGTTGCCCTGTGTGTGCTGTGTTTTGCTCTTGTGAGATTGAAGGACATGTGGAAAACACAAACCAAAGGACTAAAGGGATGTGGAGGTGTCATCTCCTCCGCCTACAATGATAGCCCCTTTCCAGGGACAAGGCCCCACCCCTCCTGAGATCAGAGAGCTTCCTCGTTCCTGGTAATACAAAACCAGAAACCACATAAAATCACTCACGCTGTCTCTTGCACTTGTATTCTCTCCCTGTCACTCATGCACACACACTCTCTCCTGGAATTTCATGACAATTGAGGCCCAACTGCCACATTTTCTAGACAGAAAAGTGAAGACTTGCCAAAGGCCACAATGGAGCCATAGAAGCAGGACCAGGTCATTCTAATCCCACCAACCATTCCAGGCATGCCGCTCCTGTTGGAAGTCAAGGCTCATCTATCTTCCTGCAGCTCCCAGGGGCTCAGCATGGAGACATGGAGCCCAGCGTACCCAACCGTGCCAGTTTCAGCCCAGGAGCCCATCTCATAGCAGCTCCTTCATCTCTCCTCCCAGCTCCCCTCTCTCTCTCCAACTGCTGGCTGCCCTGCTGTCCTCAGCAGCTGGTCACTGTCCACCTGATTCCCAGTGGCACTTCCCATGCCATGCTGAATTTTTTCACCTTCGATAAGATCCAGGGCTTTCAACAAGGCCTATTGTGGCTCACACTTGCTGGAAGACAGTGGGTAATTAATAAATGCCTCTCCTAGTAAGTTTTCCTTCTTTGGAAAAAGAAACTGAAACCCAGAAAAAGCATGTTAGTTGCCTAAGTTTACCCAGAAAGCTGCCCTAACTCTTAACTTAGCCAAAGGAAGCATTCTAAAATGCTTTAAAAGGGAGATTCTACAAACATCTATGTCCTATTTTAAAGGCCCTTTATCTGTCTCAAAACGAGTTTTCCCCTTTGCTGAGAGGCAGACTAACCTGACAGAAAGAAACCACAGCTTGAGCATCAAATGTGACTGAATTTTAGATCAAATATGACTGGATTTGGAAATTTGAATTCCAAACTCCACTACCCACCATCTTTATGACAGTGGGAATGCTGCTTTACTCCTCTAAGCCTCAGTCTCCTTGTCTGTCAAAGGGAGCTAATTACAGTTGTGCATAAGTATAATCACAATGAGCAATAACACATGTGAAATGCCTACCAAGGACCTGGTATAAGGACGGCACTCCATAAATAGCAGTAATTATTTATTTGCCTGATGTATTCTTATTTTCAATGTTGTTCATGTATATTACATCTTTCTTCCAGTCCAAAATCTTAATCTGAACGATTATGCTAGTTTATATCTGAGAGGTTCCTGACTACAGAATCATTTTATGCTTTCTTAAGTCTACCTGCAAAAAAAGAAAAGGAAAGAAAAAACCCAAACTGATCACTGTCTACCAAACAACAGGATTTCAGGGCATGACCACTTTGGTCTAACAGAGTATTTCAAAATTAACACATCCAAAATATGAATTTCTGATTTTGCCTTACAAATCTGTTTTTCTACAGCTTCCCTCATTTCAGTTAATGGCAACTCCATCACTCCAGTCAGGTAGGCCAATACCCTCACATATATCAGAAAAGCCTGTCAGCTTTCTTTCCTTGCACAGTGTATGCATTTTACAGATAAAGAGACTGAGATGGACACAGTCACAGAATCTGACGCCTCTTGGCATCTTCACTGCCCCATCCCTGGTCCAAGCTACCACCATCTCTTTCTCGGATGGTGCAGGTCTCATTATCTCCTACAAACTCAACCCAGTAGCCAAAGGGATCC